GGTGGTGACACGAGCAAGCCAGACCAATTCCATTTCTTCTGTTCCTTACCAAATGTCGCCAATTGTACTCCATTGTTCGCAAACGCCAACCTATCAGGTAGCTCCTGTTCAGGAATCTGACAAAGGCAAAAAATCGGAGACGCTGGTCAAGACAGAGCCATCGACGAAGAATTTTTTGGCAACAGCAACGCCAAGTGGTATTCATGTACACAGCCCGATGCAACCGAGGCAGAACGTCACTTCAGCTTTTCAACGTTTATCTACTCTGCCCACTCTAACGTCTCACTCTAATCCAACCAGTTCAGCTCAATATACAACATTTGAAGGCCTCGTGGGACCGCAGCCGACGGCAAGCTCGGAGCCTCGTGACTTAACACTCGAAGAGTTTATTGCGCAGGATGAAGAGGATCATGGTGACTACACGGGAGACGAGTCATATGAAGATTATGACGACGACGACGACGACGACTTGGACGATGAGGAGGAGGAAGAGGCTAACGCGTCGGACGCTTCATAGTGTGTCAATTTAAACGTCCAGTGCGATGTGTGGGTCTACCAGACAGTCAAACGCATTCGGATCGATCCATCTCCATACATCGTATTTATGGTTGAGACCACTTTGTTCATGGATAGAAAAAGGACCGCCATCCCCATTGCCCTCACATTGCGTGTGACCATCCGCATGTGCCCCACAAAAACCTCCCGAATAAGGAGACGGATATAAAAAGTACACGGCATGGACGCGGGAATGAATGAGGGCCATGCAACAATATACACAAGGCTCGTGAGTGATGAATAAATCCAGTCCAGTAAGCAAGTAGTCTTGACCATTTACGCTTTCGCGCTGTTCGGAGCGTGAACGCGCGCGAATATCAGCAACATGACGAATTGCATTCACCACTGCGTGACGAAGCGGATGCGCTTCACTCGTACGCGTATCATGAGCGTCCACGGAAATGCCCTGGTTGTTTTCGTCCAGACTCGTCACATACACACCCACGCCAAGTTCGCCAGATGCCCGAGCTTTTTGCGCACTGTGTAGACAACGCTGGAAATTATGCCGCACACGATTCACAAGAGCTGAATCTCTCCAGTATGCAGAATCGGCCTCGCGATCCACTGGCACAACTGACCTCGCTGCATCACTTCCAGGCAAGCCACTCTTAGATGCAAAACCCGCACCAGGTGGAAGAAATACGCTGGGCCATACAGCAGACCACTCTGATAATCGTTCAACATTTGGGGCGGGCCCTGTTGGAACACGCACACGGTAGAGTTGTACTGACTCAGTCAGAACCGTGTCAAGGTGAGTTGATAAAATTGATGCTAGCTCAGTATGGGAATGAGCTTTTTCCAGACATAAAAGCACAGACAAATTTGTCGATGTTGGATCAGTTAACTCATCTGGTACTTTTTGGACCTCTTTCGCCTTTCGAAAGCCTCGCAAATGTCGGATAGAATACCAGGGATACAAATCACCCGATCTGAGGATACCGTTTTTCATCATCATCTTGAGAGACTGTGCCACTTGTGAGCATGAACGAGCTGGAACATCCATAGCCCAGGCTAACGTAGTGACAAGTGGCATAGTTTTCGGATTAGGAGCTGCTGTAACACGCCACAAAGGTGCTTGGTATGATGAATCCACAGGCGCCCTGAGACAATCAACTGTCTTGTCATCCAGATCCATGCTGCCAAAGAGACTCAATTCATGCGTCTCTGAAACAGGCGTCGTTGCACGTTCTTCTACAGGTGATTCCCACCACATGCGACCTACCCCATAACATATACAAAGTTCTTCACCTTTTTGAATCTGACGTACAGTCCGATATCGAATAGAACGTGTGGTTTTGTCAAGCTCGTACGATATATTTGCAGATGTTGGATGATGGTTAAATAGTGAACCAAGCCCTAGGGCAAGGGCCATGGTATTCCCACTAGTGCTTTTTTCCCATACAAACGTATACGAGTCTAGGATGGTGTGACGCCCATGAGCCTCGTATTCTTCTGGGTTAAAAAGTAGAACTGGACTAATATCAATAATGGTATTGCTCTCAATAGGCCGTGATGCGAAAATACTACGTCCGGCATTCCCCGTTTCACAAATCCGCAAGCCAAACGCGCTAAAATACGGCGTGCATTCTGTCGGCATGCGGGTGGGATTGTCAACCATGGCCCGCAACGCCTGACACCCCAGTTGTCGAAAATAAGGATGAGCAAAACGGTCCTTTTTATCCACTCCACACGTTCAGATGAGTGCTCGCAAATTCGCGCTCGCTTTGTAGAGATATTTGCTGGCAACGATCGTACAATTATTCTAAGATTGTCCCATCAGGACGAACAGCTACAACGTCAAGGTTTCGACTTGGTTTTTTAGCAACGCGGATCGTATCTCCGTGTGATGCCATAGGTATATTTGTCGCGGAGCTGGTAGCACCAATTTCCTCTGGCATGTTACCTTTACGCCGCTCGAGCGCGAATGAAGAGATCTTTGCTAGGAGTTTCCGTGAATATAGCTGTGCTAAACTTAATTCGGACAATTTAGCGTCTTGGTCTTCGAACGCGTGAGCAATCTTGTCTTCGTATTTGTAAATAAATGACCGGAGCGGACTCTGTTCTTTTTCCACTTCATCATATGTTTCTTGATCCAAGGGGATCACAATTGTTCTTGGCTCGTCCAAAGGCTTTTCTATCACTTCCAAGACGATATTGTGCCCTTCGATCCACTCTTTGACCCTCGGATATTCGGGATCATCTTCATCATCCTTAAAAGCCAATTGCCTTTCTAGATCTTCCTCTTCAACGCCACGCACATCAGTTATATCTTGTCCTTCTGTCGCCTGTGCAAGCCTTTCTTTTTCTAGTCTCTTACGATAACGTCGCATTTCAACAGTATCTTCACCATCCCAGTCGTCACCATCTGTAAAAGCTGCATCTTCAGCATCATCAATGGTTTCGGCCCGTCCAAAGCCAACTCGCGAGCGTATCCGTTCTTTACCATTAGGCTTCTCATTCTCTAATTTCGGGTCGGCCTCTTCTGCATCATTATTCTCTGTAGTGCCATACAACTGTTGGCGCTTGTATCCTTCTTGCATGGCCTGCACCACAGAACTAGGTTCTTGATCAAAATCAGTGGTTTCAGGCGTAGTAAACATCGTATTCCAGCGACGAACACGGTTAACCCAGCTTGGCTCACTGTTAGGAAATGCAGAAGCACTCATGGTCAAGGTACGGTTCAAATTTACATGGGCACGTTTTCCAAACGCAAAAAATGGAATGCTGAAGCCATGCACGATGACGGATGACAACACGAAAAAGAATACAATAGGTTGAATAGTATGCACAAGCACATCATTTGGTGTTTGGGGTGGAATAGGCGCATCGTTTGGTAGCAAAATGCGTCCATATGTGCACATAAATATCGCACCAACACCCATGGGACCAAAATATCCAGTGAAAACAGCTTCGTGGAAAGTCTTGATGTCTGGAATAAATTTCCAAGTCAAAAGAACGATAGGCAGTCGTTTCAACAACAATACAAGGATACTCAGTCCGATCAAGCGCCCAACACTCAAATTAATAGACCCATCCACAAACTCCTTCCAAGGCATCTCAGCACCAATATACACAAAAGTCGCAATATTGAAGACCAGGTCGACAATACTAGAAAAATTCGAGTCGGCAGTCTGCTTTTGGAACCATCCATCCCACGCAAAAGCTGTGCCACAAGCAAATGCGGCCAGCAAATCATCACTCCCAATAAGGACATTCAGTCCCATACTTGCCACTGCTAGACTGAGGTACTGCGCCACAAAACTTTCACGATCAACAAGCTTGTGCTTTTCACTAAACCGGATGAGCTTACGGGCGATGTACCCGATGAAGGCTCCAATGATCGTACCACAAACAATTTCCCAAGCCATGGTTTGATAGAACCATTTTGCAACGGGAAATCCGACTTGACCACGATTTACGGTCAAAAAGTATGCAAGGAAAAGAAATGGGAAGGCTGCACCATCATTACAGCCAGATTCGCATTGCAGCATATGCCGGATATGTGCTGGCACATGTTTTTCAGCCCACGGACCACCAACAACAGCCTGTGCAAGAATTGGATCTGTGGGTGAAACGCAGGATGCAATCATCAGGGCCGCCAAAAAGTCAATACCTGGAATCAACGCCCAAATTAGAAGACCCGTGATTAACCAGCCCCAAAGCATGACAGGTCCTAGTAACATTAAAATAGTTCGCCAATGATTCCAAACGTATTTTTTTGGCAACTCTACTCCCACAGAGAAAACAGATAGAGCGATACAAACTCTCATTATCTCCAAAGTAATTGTATTAGTAGTGGTACTCCCTGGCGCTGGGTTATGTTCAGATCCCCAATCATTCGGATGAAAAATGTTTGCAGCGCTTGGTCCTGAATTTGGTTAATTAAAAGAGAGAATACTTACCGATGATGATACCAAACACCAATGCTAGTGGCGCCTCGCCCATGTACAAACGCTCTTTGACCAGCATGGAGAATATACCAAACTCGAATAGATTAGATGGAATCATAAAACATACCAGTACAATAAAAAAACCTAAAGCCACATAGATGATATGAGGAGCAGAAATATCAACAGGGTTGAAGTGGCGCTCTTGTCCTTCGAGTAACTCCCCCATATAGACAAGAAGCTAGGATTTGTTAAACACCCATCGTACGCGGTATTTCTTGGCGTGAGTAACACATGTCTGATTAGATAACTTGCCTAAAATGTCACAAGCACATAACACAAATGCTGTATGGCTCTCAAGCCAAGAATCCACCGTTACGCTCGCCCGCTTAGCTCAGTGGTAGAGCGCGTCACTAGTACCTCCCGCGTTCCGCGGATTCCCATTAGGGATATGACGAGGTCGGTTGTTCGATCCAGCCAGTGGGCAAAATTTTTCCTCGCCATGAATTAGAGGTGTTTGAATTATGAACCATCAATGATGTCGCAAAGCGTGGCTTCGCCCGCTTAGCTCAGTGGTAGAGCGCGTCACTAGTACCTCCCGCGTTCCGCGGATTCCCATTAGGGATATGACGAGGTCGGTTGTTCGATCCAGCCAGTGGGCATTTAATTTTTTTTTCTTCTCATACGGATTTTCGCCGCTATGCGCGCAGCTGTCCACCTGCGGGGGGAAACCGAGTCTTATCGTGAAAGAATTTATCTGACATTATTGGCATCTAGTTGTTTGTTTCGTTTCGAGTGTCCCCAACGTCTTCATTTGGCGGCACACTCGACAAGCTTAAGCATCCAGCTACCCATAAACCAAACTAGTAGGTGTGTTAATTTTAAAGAAAATCACTGTTAGCATATTCTTAAACTGACGCTTCGATGGCAAAATCAACCAGAAAGACACATACGTTAGTGATACATGTTTTAATCCATGTCATAGCGGTCGAAGCAGACTCAATTCGAGCACGCTTAAATATGTTATATTCAATCACAAGAGAATGACTTACCTTTCTTGATTCCTGCATTTCCATATGCTCTTGAGTTTGATCTGTGATAGAACCTTCAAAGTCATTTGTGCTCCGTTTCCCCAAAGTGCTTTGGAAATCATTATCCGCGGCTGTATGATCATCATCACACCCAACATGGCATTTCCTGCTTTCTAATTCTTTAATCTTTGCCATCATGTTCTGAATTTCACGCTCTTTCAGTGACAATGTTGACGACTTGTTTCTGATTTCAGTGCGAGGTGAATGCGGCGTTCGTGGCGAAGACAATTCAGATGTTGCGAAAGCCTTCAAAGCTTCTGATTCACCGGCATATGGTATGTTGCTTTCCATTTTCTTTTTTCCATTATCACTTTCGTCTTCATTAAAATTCTCGTCGTCATCATCAGACCATTCAATGATTATTGGTCGCCAAGGTTCTTCAATAAAGCGTCCTGCCGGACTCTGCTCTCGTATTTGTGAAGAAATTTGTGAGCCCGACTTTTCCATATGAAAATGTTGGGATTTACCTTTGAATGGATTCAATGCTGACTTGGACGAAGCATCATACACCCTATTGAGCCAAGCTGGGCCCCCATCATCCCCGGATGGAGCCACAGGATGTGCGCTGAATTCATCCGCATATGAGATACGCTTTCTCGAGCTTTGTGCCTCATTTGAAGTCTCTTCATTTTCGAAAGGAATGTAGTCCAGGCCTCCTCTTGATTGTGCACTTGGTGCATCAATGTCCGTGTAGTCGAATGTCTTTTGTATCACGGGTTGCGCGGGTTGTTTTAAAGTTTCCACGTTTATGTTCATTGCTGTTTTTTCATCAGCTTTTATTTTGTTAGTAGCATCGCTATCATCATATTTTAATGATGTTGAAGAATGGGTAGATTCTGCATCATTCCTAGGCCTCGCATCGTCTCCTGCATTTGCTTCAGGTGCTTCTCTAGCGAGCTTTTTCTTAGAACGCGTCTTTAAAGTTTTTAATGCAGCCATTCGAAGAGCCATACGTTTATCATCTTCTGCCGTTATTTTTGTTATACTGGGTATCGCTTTCTGTCGTGTTGCGCTTTCAATTGTCATATCTGGTAAACCAGACTCGGGCTGGTCAGGCGTTGCACTTCTGTTCGTATACTTCACCTTTTCATTCCAGCTAGGCAATCCAGATAACAAAGCATCATCATCAATACTAGTATCACAGCTCATAATTACTGGTTTCTGATGCGCAGTTCTGCACGGTCTGACCTGCCACAAAAAATTGCTTGTCCAAAGCCTGCTGCGTTCGAGGCCACCATGTACCGGCGGTGTCCCATATCTCACGTGACCTTTGGCACTCGGTCTCTTCCGAATCGCAGTCGTCAGCTATCCATCACCAATATAACTGATTATGGTGCGGATTGAAGAAGTTCAAGACGAAACCGAAAAACTCAGGCAACAAGGTCTTGCTACCGAGAAAGATGACGAGGATGAGTGGGAGGCTATCGATGCAGATACCGACGACGTATGTGTATTATACTGCCTTTTTAATGACTAACACAAGCAGGATGATGATCTCTCAGATGACGAAGACGTGGATGAACGTGGCGTAGTTCTTGCCAATGAAAGTCTCTGGGATCGTATTGCTGCATTGAGGGACATAATATCTCCCACTACGCGTGCTAAGTTGTCAAAAATGTGGCAGGTGACGTCGGCATATGGCTACTTTGGCGGCTGGATTGCCGGCAAGCTCATTTGGATTGGTGTGACGTCTGCTTTGGTAGTAGGTCTTCCATTTGCTCTGGCTGTTGAGGATGAGAGTCGCTTTGCTGTACAAGAAAAAGAAATTGCTGCTCAGCAACAAGGTGCCGGTGTCCCAACAAACCCGCTCTCGCCCCCTGGTGTCTCTGGTCAGCCTGAGGGTCTTCGCCCGCCGGGCTTTTAACGACCGTCGCACTGCACCTCGTATTCGTCTATGTCATAATATATTCATAGAGAGAGGTGGTTTATAGCCCAACTAAAATGAATCACTTAGCGAAGCATTTTTCACAATGGCAGTCGCGCGTTGCTGTGTAACGAATCAGTACATGATCATCCCCATTATAAATCGGGCTGAGGCATTTGGCGCCTTCGTTGCTCCTTCGATATATTTGGTTTGATGCATTTATTGAGAATTTGCTAATGGTACACTATTCATAAGATACAATCATCGTTGATTTTTAAATATCCCGAAGGCTGGATACTGTTTCGCTGTTATATTGAACACGGCAAGTAAGAACTGTGTGTAACACAACTCTAAGTTGTTACTTTTCATTGCTAGGTTTCGTGTTGTTCGACCCATCTTTTGTAGTTGAAGACACGACAGGTCTTGTGTTAGAAGTTTCATTAGCAACAGTGACACTAGCAGAGCCACCAGTAGCATTCTTTTGAGCATCAGCCACAGAAAATGAAGGCCTCGTGTACAAATTTGAAGATGCGGCAATCAATGCCTGACGCATATGCGTCCAGTCGGTTGACAACTTCAACAAGTTGGCTTCGTCGAGTAGGGACATGCGGAAGCGAATAAAACGCTGATCAAAGTCGTCTAACACTGCTTCTTCATCGCCTTCCATTCCTCCGAGACCCAGCAAACCAAGACCCGCATATCGCCCGCCATCTTCATCATATCGCCAACGTTCAGCGAGTTTCTGAGCACGTTCCATCTGCTCTTCCACCGATTCGACCACTTCTTCCCTAGTTGCAAGAGTACTTTGTGATTGAAGCTCAGGTGATTTGTCTTTATCCATAGGCTTTGAGTCTTCCTGGTCAATATCTGTGGCCTGAGTGCTTTGACCATCACCCATCTCATCCGAACTCTGTGTTCCAACCGTCGAGTCTGATGCTGTACTAGCCAAATCAGTATTTTGTGGCTCAACGTGGTAAACACCAGCTTTATTCAAACGCCTAAAGTTCAAGTCTGGATCATGGGTCAACGGTTCTCGCGGATCCTTTGAATTCAAAGGGTCCCAAGATAGATCAGGTGTAGGCAGTAGCATTGGCGCCACCCGCGAAGACTGAACCACGGGTGCATATGAACGGAAGGCATCAAATCCAGCATGAATTCTGTTGAATCCATCCATGCGTTTCATCGAGTCAGAGGAACGGTCAAAACCGAAGGTAGCAAGTGGGAATCCGTTTTGGCGTTGTCGAGGCCAGGCGCCAATGTTAGCAGGCGCAGGGCTAACTGCAATGGGGCGACGATCCAGAAACACTCGTCCTCCACGGCCGACGCGTCGGCGGAAGCAAGACTGTCGTCCGGGCCGCGCAAATGGATGATTGGACCAAAAATGGGTATCATTGTTGTCAGACTGAATTGGTCGGAACGCACGTATCGGTGGTGGCGCAACTGATGGCTGGAATGCGGAGTCTGTGAGGTCTTCCATACCTGCATCTGCCTGCTGCCTCATTGTACATTCATTGTCGATGTACTGCTGTACAGCAATCATGCGGTCCATAATAGAAGATACACCAGTCGAAGTGTTTACATGTTCCATTCCAGCTTTGGTAGTCGACTGAGCATATTCTGGTTCCGCTTTAGGGCGTCGTAACTTGAGCACTGTTGATGATGTAGAGGAGGCCGCCTCATCAACCTTACGCTTTTTCTTCAGCAATTGAGTATGTTGAGTGGCTGTTGTAGAGGGTACAGGTTCGAGAGGGTCAGGCTGAATTCCAAACAAGAGACTCTCATCTTCTTTACCTTTACTTGGACCAGTGATATCCCAACTGCGCTTTAGTGCCAAGAGTTCTTGCGCTTTTGTCCAGCATCCCTTAGCCTGTTTAACGCTAAGCTCCTTCAAACGTTCCCGCTGAGCAATCATGAAAAACAAAGACGCAGCTTGACGCATTTCGACTTCAAGTCGAACAAGTTTTTCAAGCTGCAGGGTATCTGTCTTACGCGTTTTACGTGCACTTTTGACTTCACGGCGACGAAAGCACACATAAGGGTCATTCTCGTTGCTCTCATCAAAGTTAAGTGATGGCACAATCGGCCTTCCCTCACGAGCTTGGCGGCGAAGTTTCCACCACGAGTACACTGCATGAGCGCCGGGCTTAAGTAAATGCAGATATCGAAATGGATTTTTTGCTGACCAGGCTAGTTCCCCTGAGCCTTGTTTCGGAGTGTTTTTGCTGTTATTGTTCTTCCCTGCTGGAGTGGGAACACTCGAAGAAAGATCATTGGGGAGAGCTGGAAGTTCTGGGAGAGCCAGCGCAGAGCACGATGAGTTGGGTTCAAATTGGGGCAGAAGCTCAGAGAGAGGTGGGAGTTTAGACATATCAAGTTCCAACAAGGGATGGCGCTCACATGTCGTACGTTCAAACACATACATTATTGTCTCGAATTCATCCTCTGAAATAGAGCAATATTTTGATGCATCCTTGCGCATGAGAGCCTCAATACGAGCCGCCTCTGACTCAGTGGGTTCCTCTTTGGAATCTTTCAGTGCTTTTTCCAAATTAGACTGAGCCTTTTCGTTATGCTTGTCCAACCATCCTTTGTCGTCCTCATCCATGCAGTAGGGAGAACCGCGGTTACAAGCTTCCACTGTGTCCGAGAATCGGACATATGTGACAGGGTCAAAATACACATTCGTCGGATATTGCTCATGATATTG